AAAGTGGTTTTTAAGAGTTTTTGTCGAATGCTTTATAGTATAGTATAGATATGTGCTGCAATGATCAAATTCTTTGTAATTCTTGCTAAACAGGGTCAAGATGACTTATGTGAAGCTTTCTTTGCTTACAATCGTGCAAAAGGGACACTCTATGATGGGGAAACACGCCTTTTTCTTCGTGGCAGTGGTAATGGTGCTTCTACCCGTACATGAAGTTTCTTTAACCCTTTTTTATTTGTAAAGTTGATGCTTTAACATCTTACCCTTGCAATAAAATTGCATGAAACAGGTGTTCTTGTCTTTTAAATTAAAACAACAACATAGATACATAGGTTCTTTTGTAGTTTACTTTTGGGGAGACAGGAATCTTCTAGAACATCCTTGTGAAGCAATTTTCTTTTGCTAGAATGGTGCAAATAGTAAACAGCCCATAAGCGAAGTTCGAATAAGTTTCATATTGAAATCGTAAAGTCCAAATTTGATTCAAAATCAAGTCTTGTTCACGATTTATTTGTTTTATTACTAATTTTTCCAATTATTTTGGTCAACCCCTTCTATAAACTTGATTTATGGTCGAATGATTTGATTGCACATATTATTTTGCAGGAAAACCAGTGTACATGTACAGTATGGGTGGCCTTGCGGAATATGCTGTTGTGCCAGCACACGCGTTGGCTGTTCTACCTCATTCGTTGCCTTATTCCGAGTCTGCTATTATAGGTTGTGCAGTTTTTACTGCCTATGGTGCTATGGCTCATGCAGCCCAGGTTCGTCCTGGTGATGCTATTGCCGTAATTGGTGTTGGCGGTGTAGGCTCAAGGTGAGAATATACGAGTATACAAATATCAGCAGCCACCTATACTATCATTAAATATTTGTTTAGGTAAAAGAGTTATCGTACAACTACATGTCCAAAAAGGAAGATGTATATGATACGTACCGTTTTTCACAATTCTTTCATAGTAACAAGATAGATTAAGAGAGCTAAATGCCACCAGTTTTCCAAGTCCCTTGAGGGTGCATCTGGTACGCAGGCATGCTGACAGGAGTGAGGTAGGCGGGCGGGTGAAAGAATTCTAGGAGGTTTTGGGATTTTAATTTTGACATGGGTAGTTTAGTAATTTACTAATCTTGTCTCCTCTCCCTGATTTTTGTTCCACCTATTTTGGTGGGACAAGAAATGCATTTTCGTCGCATTTAGTCCTGTCAGGTCCAATCTAAATGTTGCACAAAAAATGGGACAAGTTTTTGTTCTGTCCTGTCCTGTTCTGCTTACCAAACGCACTGTAAGGAGACCCGTAAAAAATCTAACTAATTATTTCTTTTATTTATAATCTAACCAACTGCCAATGCTTTCTCTTTCGTGGTTTTTTCTTTTTATCTACATTTTCATTCCAATGGGGCTTCTTATTTTGCGACTATAACTAGGTGAATGTTTCAGTTGTCTGCAGATTGCACGCGCATTTGGTGCATCCGAGATTATTGCTGTGGATATACAGGATGAGAAACTCGAGAAAGCTAAAATGCTTGGAGCTACTCACACTGTAAATGCTCGAACTGAAGATGCAGTTGCAAAAATCAAAGTACGTATTTCCTTTTTTTCCCTCTTCATTTTGAGCTGCTACTGATATCCTTACAACGGTTTCTTGAAATGATGCTTAACTGATATCCTTACATCGGGCGAAAGAATTCTGGAAGGTTCTAGTATTTTAATTTGACAGGGGTAATTTAGTAATTTACCAATCTTGTTCCATCTCCATGCGTTTTGTTCCACCTATTCATGTCCCAGTCAAATGTCGTGCCCAATGTGACACAAGTTTATGTAACGTCTGGTCTGGACTCTGGTGTACCAAACGCAACCTAAAAGGCTCAACTGACCACCTATGCACATTTTTTCACATATATTAAGCATTTGGGTACAAAATTCATCGTAAAATATACTTTAAACGTTCAAGATATGTGAATATTGACATATTTGGACAGGAAATAACCGGAGGGATGGGTGTTGACACCGCCGTTGAAGCTTTGGGAAATCCAAAAACATTTATGCAGTGTGTTGAGTCCGTAAGAGCTGGTGGGAAAGCGGTAATGATTGGTCTTACACTTTCCGGGGCCAAAGGTGAAATAGATATAAACCATCTGGTCCGTAAACAGGTATGCGATACTGACATCTGTTTATGATTTCTTATAACTTTGGCACATTTTTTGGTATCTCAATGTTTGAACCTTAGCTTACGTTATTGTTGAAATTACTAAAGTAACCCCATCCACGGTTCATATGAAACTTACGATTTTGGGTTGCATTGGGAAACAGATCAAAGTAGTCGGGTCGTATGGAGGCAGGGCTAGGCACGATCTTCCGAAGCTGGTGAAACTGGCGGAAAGTGGCATCTTCAATCTTGGAGCAGCGGTTTCACGGAAATGCAAGTTTGAGGAAGCCGGGAAAGCGTACGAAGATCTGAATCAGGGAAGTATTTTAGGCCGAGCCGTGGTTGAGATTATGTAATTTGATAAATGGTTCGATGGTTTGTGTTCGACTGTTCTACTGCTGCTTGTTTCTGTTTGAGATACAGTTTAATGAGCAGGTTGTAGAATTATTGGCTGTACAGGAAACTACTGAATTGAGTTGAAATGGTTTAAGTTATTGGATCAAATTTGTCGTTTGCATTATCCGGTGGGTCCGATAAGAACATGTATATGCAGGTTAAGATGATGAGAACCGCAAAAAGGGTAGGTGTTAATCTAAAACAATGTATGTGAAAAATACTGTGTTGATACACAATGTGGAAATAAAAAATTGAAATTAAAAATAATCATATTGTAAAACAAATTTATTACGAGACAAATATATGAGCATGTTCAAACGAGAACGTTAACTATTAAGAAAACAAAAGAAAATTGTTAATGTATAAAATCATACATGATACACACATATATACATACATATATAGAGGAGCGTTCGAATAAAAACCACTCAATTTGTAAAAACCGTGAAAAGTTCATTCAATCAATCATAATTTTTCATTTTGTTCATTTTTTGTAATTATGAGAGGTTGATTAACCATTTTTATTGTGGATGGTGTTGATCGTGGATATTATCATCTTCATTATTTTAATTTTAGAGAAATACATGAAACAGTTTTATTAAAATTTTATTAAATATTATATGAAACAATTTCATAACCATATATAAAACAAATTCATCAAAAAAGGTATTATATGAAATAATTTCACAAGATTAAACAATTTCATGAAAAAATTTCATAAGATTAAATAATGAAATCGACGTATGAGGGTGGTTTGTACGGTTTTTACAAATGAGGGTGGTTTATATATATATATATATATATATATATATATCTATACTACATATATAAGCATTTAAGACAAAGTCTTAAATACAACTCTTTAAACACAAGTTACAACCATTTTATGCATGATTTTCAAAAAACTCTTAAAGACAAGTCACAAAGCACAATGTACAAGTGTTTTATGCATTGAGTTTAACCTTGTTTTTCTCTCTTCCTTTTCCAGAGACAATTTCTTCCTCCAAAAATGGGTAAGGTCAAAATGGGCTTTTTTCTGTTCTTCTTTCCTTTTCCAGTTTCCTCCTCTTTTCTAGCTTCCTCCTCTGTGTCTTCTTCCTTTTCATGATTCCTCCTCTGCGCTTCTTCCCAATTAGTAAGGTCAGCCCTTTGCTTTCTTCAATTGCTGCAACCTTTGCAAAAATGGCCAGCTCCCAAGACAATCTCATATGTGCATATAACCAGAAGTTTGAGGCTTTGATTTCTCCACAGGTTCTTCAAAACCCTAGCAATTTCTTTGAGGTATTGATTTGGTTTACATGTTCTTCAAAACTCAGGTTCTTAATGTCGTTTTTGGATTTCATTTATGGGTCTGTTTCCATTTCATCTTATTTGCAACTGAGTTTTCAATATTGGATGATTTCATTTATGTGTCCATTTCAACTTATACACACACACACACACATCTGGCCACAAACAAAAAAAGTAAGATTAGAACTGGTGATTTGAGCCCTCCACAATCCTGAGGGCTAATTCTTCTTCTCTGTTGTTGYGATAATCAGCAGATCATGATCATCTTCATTTCAACTCTGTTATGTTTTTTAATCATATTTTTATTTTGTTATGAATTTACCATCACACAACACACATCTTTTGGATTGGCCAAAATGTATTATACTGTTTTGTTCTTACTGGTTGTGTTTRTGTGCTTACAGTTTCAAGACAAAGTCTGGTTGTGTTTGTGTGCTTACAGTTTCAACATCAGCTGTTTCTTCATCAGGTATAAACACATCYTTARAATAGCTCCATCAATTTAATTGGACARCATAAGCATYATGGTTTCTGATAATTTGCTTTCTGAATCCTTGCTTTCAGTTTCTAYAGTAGCCATATAACCTGCTGTAATATAACACCCTGTACCTGCTGTTCTAAATCAAAACTTTGCTTTCTGACAATTTGCTTTCTGAATCCTTGCTTTCATGTATTAAACAAAATATGAAAGGTTCTCTTAAAATATCATTTTCAAGCTTTTGTGTAAGTTTAGAACCACATGAACATGCCTAACGTTGGTAAGTTTAGAACTGCTACTATTTCTGTTTAAGCAATGACAACTTTTGCCAAGTCAACAACTCCATTTCATCTTATACACACACACATTTGGTTAAATTCCTCATGTCCC